GGAGATGTTGCTCAGTGATAAAGCACCCGCTGGGTTCAACCCCTGGTACCCACCCCCTGCAAAAAATCTACTAATGTGATTTGCCAAGTTAAGGAGAAATGGATTAGAAGAGAAGAGGGAAGAGAAAAGAGGAAGAGGAAGAGAGAGAAGTGAAAAAAAAATAGGATCAAAAGAAAATTGGAGACGGAGATAAAGGAAGTAGAGAGAAACTGAATGAGCAATTGAGGTGGAAACTAAAGAGCAATCTCTCTTTTCTGGATGTTGACCTTGAAAAAGACTCTACAAACAAACAAACAAACTACTCTCCAATGTCCCTCATATTCATAGATGTAACATTTCTTAACAAAATTGAATCCAGTAAGGATACGACCTCATGGCCATTTGGAGATTATCCCAGGAACTCAAAATTGGTTTAACTTTAGGGAATCAACCAATGTTAATTTACCATATTAACAAAGTACAAAAGAAAGACTAGGGACTGGGGTTGTGGTAGAGCACTCACCTAGCACGAGCGAGGCGCTGGGTTCAATCCTTAGCCATATATATATATATATATATATATATATATATATATATATATATATATAGAGAGAGAGAGAGAGAGAGAGAGAGAGAGAGAGAGAAAGAGAGAGAGAGAGAGAGAGAGAGAGAGAGATAATCACATGGTCTTTCAAAAGACTATGTGATTATCTCAATATAAGCAGAAAAAGCATTTGACTAAATTCAAATTAATTTCTGATAAAACAAAAACTCTCAACAAAAAGGAATTCACTTAATGAAAAACATCTACAGAGACCCCACAGATGGCACCATACTGGATGGTGTGAAATGGGAAGCTTTCTAATACAGTTAGGAGCATGGCTCTTGTCCAGTTGTGTTTGGACCATTTACAGTTCTCATCAGTGCAGTACTTACCAGGGCAAAAAGCCAAGGAGAAAATGTAAAAGCATCCAGATTAGAAAGGAAAGAGTAGACGTTTCTTTCTTTTCAAACATGACAGAAAATCCTACAAAATTGTTTAAAAAAAAACTATTCAAATTGATAGGTGTAGTGAGGTAGCAGAATACAAGATCAGTATACAAGAATCAATGTGTTTCTACACTAGTAGCAAATAATCAGAAAGTTTAAAAGCAATATTATATCATGAATACAATATCATTACAAGTAAGACAAGACCTTAACTCATCATATTATACAATACAGGTTGAATGTCCCTTATAAAATGCTTTCAGATTTTGCAATTTTTTAGATTTTTAAATATTTGCTTACACTTTGCCAATTGAGCATCTCCAATTAGAAAATCAGATTTCGAAATGCCCCAACAACTGAAATTTGAAAAGCTAGTGTTCAAAAAGTTTCAGACTCTGAAGCATTTCTGATGTCAGATTTTCAGATTATAAATTCTCCACGTTTATCATTAAAAAAAAAAATGAAATGTGGGCTGGGATTGTGGCTCAGCGGTAGAGCGCTCGCCTAGCATGGGCAGGACCCGTGTTCGATTCTCAGCACCACATAAAAATAAAAGCATTGTGTTGTGTCCATCTATACCTAAAAAATAAATATTTTTTTAAAAAAGATTCTCTCTCTCTCTCTCTCTCTCTCTCTCTCTCTCTCTCTCTCTCTCTCCTTTCTCCTCTTTCACTTAAAAAAATTATAAAAAATAAATGAAATGTACAGGGATAAATCTCATTTTAAAAATATGTCCAAAACCTGGGTACTGAAAACTGCAAAACACTGATGAAAAGCTGAGAGGAATTATACTTGGGAGGATTATACCTTGCTCATGGTGTTACGGAACTGAGGCCTTCCGAGAAACTGAGGCAGCGTGAAGACCCCCCTTTAACCCCGATTCTTGTAATCAAGAGTGAAAGATCTCAGACATGTTGCTCAGAGTAACAGGCATGAGTTATGGAAGGGATAGAAAAAGGGAAAGGAGACACTCTCAAGGGAGAGAGTGTCCTCTTAGAGAGGAGAGGGACAAGGTGCCTCCAGTTTTATGGGGGACCCATAGAGTCCTGCCCATGTTCACCTCAAGTGTCTGACATCAAGATGACATCAGACTTTCAAGTCCCCATTGCCATAACAACTCTAGGTCACCTTGGCCCAGGCTGACCAGTTCTAATTGGATTCTTAATCATGAATCTTACAGACTTCATGATTAAGAGGAATTATCCTTATCTCCCTGAATCTGGGGATCTGGTCTGTGGAAAGGGTCACAAAAATCTCCCCCTTCAGTGTAACTTGGGTTCCTCTTCTGGACATTTTTTCAGGCCTGCGTTTCTCCAGCAGATAGCAGGTAGCTTGCTGAGGAATGTGACATAGCCTGTCCACTTAGGCAGGACTGCAGGGAAATTGCTTCTGGGAAAAGAAAGCATGTGGGGGTCAGCAGAGTGGGCCCAATTTACAGAACTATTCCCTGAGGTTGGTGCCTACAGACAGTGTTCATACCCTGACACAGTTGTTAGTATCAATTTTCAAAATATATTGGCCAGTGATGATTGAATTGGGAAAGAATAATAGAACTTATTTTTCCCCTTTGTCAGTTCTGGGTGACAGAGTTTCCTGTTGCTGGGGCTTCTGTTCTGCTGTTTTGTTCTCTCTCCTCAGGCTCCAAACAGAAGCCCGTGTCCCTGTGAGGTCCTCGTCCTCCCCAAGAGACCTCGGCCAGTCTCTGCTCCTGTCTTCCCTCCTACTCCCAGGGAATCATCTCTTTACCTGCCAGCAGAAGCCCCTGCCAGGGGACATGTCCTCTGTGGGGAGAGGCTGAGGGGGCTCCATGGTCTCTGCTGCCTGCTCTGTCCTCCCTGTGTGGAAAAGAACCACTATCCACCGTCCTCCTCATCTGTCTGTCCCCTAACACTGAGATGCCAAAAGTCCCCAAATTGGTCTATAGATTTGATGCAATCCCTATCCATGCCCCAGGAGCCTTTAAAAGTAAAGAAAGAAATTGACAAGCTAATTATAACATTCTCCTGGCAATACAAAGGACCAAGACAACTCTGAAATAACAAATAATTTCGAAGACTAAATTATGTCACTTCAAGACTTATTATAAAGCTATAATAATCAAGAGAGTGTGACACTGGTATAAAAATTATCAAAAGGATCAATGGAACAGAATAGAGTCCACAAGTAGATCCACATGTGGCTAAGCCCCCCTCTCGGGTCATCACTAGGAGGCCCCATTCTAACCCCCAAAGTCATCTGTGTGACCCCCTTTGCTGGAAGCTCACTTACCTTCCCAGAGCGACTGGGAATACTGCAAAGATGGACATATGCAAATAGGTTTTTTCTGTGTCACAGAGAAAATCAACCACCATTAGGGACCCCAGGGGTCCCCTGTGTGGTGTTCACAGCCCCAAGGCCATGGCACAGCAGAGGTCAGGTCAGGTTGAGCCAGGGTTTCTCTCAGGGGACAAGATCCCCATCAGCCTTGCTTCTTCAAGTGTGGTCTGGGGTCTCCGGTACTGACACTTGAAGAGGCAACACTGAAAGGGGAGGTGCCGGGTCGTGCCCTAGCGGGGTCCAGGGAGTCCTGAAGGATGAGTGGCGTCGGCGAAAAGATGAGACAGGAGTCGTTCCGTTGGAGCAATCTCCAGAGAGAGAGCGAATGCAGCTTTCTCTGGGTCATCTTTTATTACAATTTTTCTCATCATTATACATTCAGAATACGTCATTGATTATATAATTTAAAACTCTGCCAAGACATGACATTTCCTTAACCATGATTGGGGGTACAAAAAAATGTAACATTAATTTACATTTTTCCAGGATATGACCTTCAGTTATATAATTATTAAAAGTACAGAATCATTAATAAAATACGTCACTAATTTACATTTTTCAGATTTTCCCAAGATTTACTATTTTTCCCAAGATATGCTATTTTCTTATTAACTAATGCCAAACTACATAACCAGACTCTAAGTCTCCTAACCAATCATTAACCTAAAGTACACTTGTACTTTATTTCTAATCTAAAATTCCCATCTAAAAAAGTCTCCTTAAATCTTATACTTAAAACATCCTAAAGTTTATAAATCATTCTTAAAACATATCAGAAACCTATACAACTACAAACTTAAGAATTTCTAAACTTAAGAATCTAAATAAAATAATATTTCTAACATTATTCTAAAACTGTGTCTTATAAAGCTGTTTTAATTAATTCCTAAATTTATTCTCATAAAACTGGTTGAGCTGCTTTCTCAAAGAGTTTCTTTGTTTCTCAGTCAAGGTGCACTAGTTCTCATATCTTTATAATCTTTCTCAATAGAAAGTAAGTTCTAAACATCAATCCACTTTCCACCAATATTAACTATGCTCATCATATATCCCTATGTAAAGTAAGAAAGGGTTTATAAAAAGAGAAGAATATATCTTTATATGTTTTAACTTTCCTAAGTGTATAATATAACTTTCCTTGATCAAAAATGAGACTACATGTGGTGAACTTTGTAAAATAAGCATAATGATTAGATTTTCTAAGAGGCCAGAAATATGGGCTTGGGTTCTAGTTGATATAATCAATGTGGTGCCTAAAATTCTCATGACCTTTCAGAGGATGATTGTTGTCCATTATCAGATTTGTCCTCAGTGTACTGAGATAGAAGAACAGCCTTCTACTTTGTCCTTGATATGCTGAGGGGTAGTAGAACAGCCTCCAAGGCATGAACTACCTGTTATGTTCTAGCCATCTGAAATTTAATTTGTTTGGCATTTAGCATACTCACGCCTCCTGTCAGAAACATAAGCATGAAAATGCAAAGTCCCAAATACATAAAAAAGAGTCTCATGGTTTCGGTTTCCCACCAACCAGCGTGGCTTTGCCAGCATTCATCCTCACTGTGACCCTGTCAAGACAGTGGGAGAGCGGCTTTGCCAGCACTTTTTCTCACTGTGACCCTGTCAAGACAGTGAGTGGGGGATCGCCTTCACCAGGGAGGGGACAGAGAGGCTTCCTAGACTGAGTCCCACCCCCAGCCCATGTGACCCTGGGAAGTGCTCCTGCCCTGGGAGGAGGCTCAGCCAGAGAGGACAGCAGAGCTGAGTGGCCTGAGCAGCCTGCTTGGGAACAGGTTGGGAAACCCGGTTCTTTGCCACACAGGGAGGACAGAGCAGGCAGCAGAGACCATGGAGCCCCCCTCAGCCTCTCCCCACAGAGGACATGTCCCCTGGCAGGGGCTTCTGCTGGCAGGTAAAGAGATGATTCCCTGGGAGTAGGAGGGAAGACAGGAGCAGAGACTGGCCCAGGTCTCCTGGGGAGGACGAGAAGCTCACAGGGACACGGGCTTCTGTTTGGAGCCTGAGGTTAGAGAACAAAACAGCAGAACAGAAGCTCCAGCAACAGGAAACTCTGTCACCCGGAACTGACGAAGGGGGAAAATAAGTTCTATTATTCTTTCCCAATTCAATCACCACTGGCCAATATATTTTGAAAATTGATACTAACAACTGTGTCAGGGCACGAACACTGTCTGTAGGCACCAACCTCAGAGACTGGCAGACACCTGGACACTCAGGGCTGGGATACTGCTTAGGTGTCTGAGCCTGTTCCAGGCACCAGGGCCACAACAAAATCAGATTAGTTCCCGTGTCATGGAGTCTCCTTCCAGTGGGCAGGAAGACAGGCCAGCAAAGAGATGGAGGAGGGGCTGAAAAGAGGCACACAGGGCAGAGAGCTGGGAAATGTCAAAAGGGAAGACCCAGGGTCTGCAAGGAGATGGTCAGGGGAGGCCGGTGCCCAGGACAGCCTGAGGGTGAGCAGGGATCTGCAGGCACTGAGGGGCCAGCCTTGCAGACACCCAGGAATACCATTCCAAAGGAAATGACAAGTTCAGGGGTGCTTAAGAAATGAGTCACACTGCTGACCTTGATACACATACACACACACACACACACACACACACACACACTCTCACTCACTCCAGGTTCCGAGGCTGAGGGATGAAGACACCTGCTAAGGACCCAGAGCTCCATTTTCCCACCAAAAACTGATGGATTTCTCTCCCCTCAGTTCTGGTCTCACCTTTAACCTTCTGGAACCTGCCCACCACTGCCCAACTTGCTATTGAATCTGTGCCCTTCACTGCTGCCGAAGGGACCGATGTTCTTCTACTTGCCCACAATGTGTCAGAGAACGTCAAAGGCTACACCTGGTACAAAGGGGAAAGGGGCATTGACAGCCATCAAATCTCGATATACCTAACAGCCACTCAAGGAATTATCCCAGGGCCTGCCTACAGTGGTCGAGAGACGGTATACCCCAATGGATCTCTGCTGTTCCAGAAGGTCACCTTGGAGGACACAGGATTCTACACTCTGCAAACCATAAGTAGCGATCTTCAGGCTGAAAAAGCATCTGGACACATCTGTGTATATCGTGAGTGACTCTCTATGGAAGCATCTGGACAGTTCTATGCATACTGTGAGTGGTTTTCTGTGACCCCTGGGGGTGGGCTGGGGTTGATTCCACTACACACACACACACACACACACACACAAGACTGTCAGTTTGGGCCTACTTCTTCCTCTATGTTGTGTGCCTTTGCTGCGGTTTGAGCTTTTAGTGCAGGACACACACAGTGGAGACAAACTTCAATAGATTGGATTCCTCTCTCTGAATCCACCCTGCAGACACTCGCTGCAGAGTGGACAGGCTGCCAGGTGACTCCGCAGGTGAAGCTCAATCTCAGTCCAGCCTCCCTGGCCTCTCCCCATGGACATGGCTCTGAGAAAGACTGAGTCAGTGCTGAGTTAATCCCCTGAGGGGCTGCCTGTGGCCCTCACAGAGAAGCATAGTTCTGGGAAGTTCCTGACCCAGGCCTCTCTATTCCAGGCTCCTGACTCCAGGTCCTGGGGGCCAGGACCTCCTGGACAGAGCTGATGAGGGGCAACCATTTACATCTTACAGAGTCCCAGGATTACTGGAGCTGATTACCAGCCAGGGCTCAGCCCCAAGAGCCACACCTGAGCAAAAGCAATGGCGAGTCTTCACAGCCACTAGAAGACTGACCTAGGGGACTTAGGGGACGCTCTGGAGAGGTCAGCATCTCTAGGGGGATGAGCAGAGGCAAGAGGTTGCCCTGACAGACTCTTTTGCAAGATCATGCACAGGAACCCTCTCTCTTGGAATCTCATAATAATAGATTTCATTTATTTGTGAAATAAATGAAATCTATTATTATTATCATCTATTTAAGTCAGGTGCTATGAATATTTTAAGGCCAACTCAAAGACAATCTGATGTCAAATATCATTTATCCTACCTTATTGAGGGAAAACTTGGGCACAGGACTCAAGTCACTGAATTAGAGTCACATAGACCAAGACTGGCAGGTCAGAGTCATACCAGGTCTGGGTGCAGCCACAGCTCCACCCTCCCCTCCACACTTGAGCCCTTATTAGGTGGCCATGGACCCCAAGACCAGTCCTTGATCCTTTCTTGATCATTTCTTAGTAGGCCACCACAGCTTCATAGTATAAAGGAGAGAACTTTGCTTTCTCACTGCCTACTCTACACCCTGCACTCAGCACAAGGTCCAAATGTTACCAACTTCAATAGCTGCTGGAGATAGGAATGAGCCAATGATCCACAATCCCTTCAAAGACTAGGATCGGGATGCAGATTCCTGACCATTGTATAAATTCCATGTTCCTCCCAGGGGCCAAGACCCAGGCCTTGAAGCTTTTGCTATTTTCTAGAGAAATATCCTTCCAATAAGTCAGACTCTTGGGTATTGATAATAATTTTCACATATGGAAAAAAATTTAGCTGCTCCTCAAATTTCTGTCCCATATCTGACAAACACATGTGGCCCATCAGGGCCAGATTTCCATCGGTTCATTATTCTGTGTCTGAAAACATTCCCCTATATTTCAGGCAAGATCCACAAGGTCCTCACCTGCCCTCCACTGTTGAGAGCCATCTGTGGACTAAATCGGCATGGAAGGCCACTGAGTAGGAAAATCTGGTATTTGGGAACTTCCAGGGGCAATCCAGCTGGTAAGATCACCCAGATATATGTGAGTCCTGTTCACTTCTGCCAGGTCCCACACAGCACCAGAGATGGGTACACCTGCTGTAGCCACACAGCCTCTCAGAGATGGATGTAGCAGGCCAAGATGCCAATCAACCTGTTGACTGCAAGACACCATGAAGCAAGACTCCAACCCTGAAACCTTATCCCTGCCTTTGATGTGCCCCCTTAAATAAATCATCAGAACCATTTTTCAATAGTTCTGTTCCAGCTCCTACAAGGACTAGAAGATCCTATCAGGCACTCTACTTTTAAAACCTATTTTTAAACTTTGCTTCTATTTCTTCACTTTACTTCAGAGTTTATTTTCTCAAGTGGCTTATTCTCCCCAAGCAGGAAAAATTACCCTGGTGAGGCATTGGCAGCCCCACAATACTCTGCAATGAGAGAAGGGACATTAAAGACCAAGGACAGAGAACATGGTTCTGCTCCAAAGCCAGCCAGTGTTGCCTGCCTGCCCCCTCTCTCTTTCTAGAACATTCCTTGGAGTCTGCTCTATTTTTCATGGGTCAGCCACTATTCAAAGCCTAGGTGGAACTGCCCCCGCTCAAGGTCCTGTGGCCTTGGTATTTACCAGACTTCCAGACCTGTGCCTGGTGTCCCATGTGCTATTTCTCCTTTAACTCCTGGTCTCCATCATGACCCACCTCTAGGACAGCTTTGAAAAGGCTACGCAGGGGAGTCTGTGCAGTTGGAGGGACTCAGCACCACGATTCAAGGCCAGGTAGGCAGCCAGTCAGTGAGGATCAGGAGGTGCAGGGGCTCTGACTTCCTGTGCCAGGTCTGTCCATGACCAAATACTGCAACTAAAGTCACATGTCAGAAACTCTGTGCTTCTCCCAGACACAGCCCAGGCAGCCCCACATCCTCTGAGCCCTCAGATCCTCCTGCATCTGCCCAGGATACCCACTCCTGCCTGGTTCTTCAGGACTCAGGTTGGTGGGAGGTGAGAGGCCAGCTCAGGTAGAAAGACACCTTTGCAGGAACCAAAGGTACCACAGGGCAATCTTCTCTCTGTGGTCTGCAGAGAGAAATGCCCAAACCCCACCTACATTATGTGACCTGTGTACAAAGATTATTTTCTTCCCATCAATTAAAATGGCTTTGTTTTCTTTGTCGATTTGTTCCACAGTTACATTGAAGAGAAGTGGTGAAACACAAGGGACGGCTTTGTCTTGTTCCTGGTCTTAGTGTCAAGACTCTCAGTATTTCCCCACTGAGTATTACGTGAGATTTTCACATGTGGCTTTTATTACATGAAGGTGATTTCCATCTCTTCCTAAGAGTGCCAGTCTTTTGTTCAAACCATGACTATTTCCCACTAAAGAGTTCCTTCATCGTGACATTCAATCCACAGGCCAGGAAGTCAAAGTCCTTTTAGGTGGAGAAATCCTTTAGATTGGAACTTCTCCAACTCTGCCATCATGAGACTATTCTGGGCCATCTTTGTTCTCGAACAGATTATTTTAGAAAAAGTAAATGCCATTGTATTTCATGTAAAACTTTCCTGGCCCCAGAGATGGATAGGGCTGCCAAACCGGATCTCCTCAAAATACACCCCAATTCAAATAAGGAACAGGACCTGAGAAAATCACAAAAAGGTCAAACAGGAGTTTATAGGAAAAAAATTCTACCTGATGATGAGGTTGCTGGGCACATGGACTGAGAAGAGGGTCCTGGTGCAGATTCTACAAAGATGTTCAGGGGTCCGGACATGAGTCACCCTGGTTGATCTGGGATCAGAAGGAGGGGCTGCCCTCTCCTTACAGATAATCACCTGAACAAAGACACTCAACCTCTGCAGAGGGTCAGGGCCACTGTCTGGCCAACCTTACACAGCTCACTGTGGGCACCAGAGCTGGCTGAGGTCTCTGAGCAAAGAGCCTGGCCCAGACCCCAGGGCGCAGGCCCACTATCAGTGGGTCCTCTCCTCAGTTTACTCACAGAGTCTGTGACAAAGCCTTCCATCCTGGCCAGCAATGTCAGCATCACAGAAGAGGGCCCTGTGGCCATGACCTGCCTCTCAGGTGACACTGGAATCTCCATCACGTGGATCTTCAGTAACCAGACTCTGCAGCTCACGGACAGGATGCAGCTGTCCCGGACCACAGGACCCTCAGCATAGACCCCGTCAGACAGGAGGATGCCGGGGAGTATCAGTGTGAGGTCTCCAACCCCGCCAGTTCCACCAAGAGTGACCCTCTTAAACTAGCTGAGTGACCTTTATCCCCTGCTATGAATTAAATCAGAAATAAAAATGTTCTCCTTATAAAAACAATGGTTCTAACTCTCTTGCTTTATAAAACTATTGTGAATAGTCAGTACAATAAAATGGAAAATCCTATCAAGACCTGCACTGAGCTGGGTGTGGTGGTTGACACCTGTAACCCCAGCAGCTCAGGAGGCTGAGGCAGGAGGAATGAGTTCAAAACCAGCCTCAGCAATTTAGTGAGGCCCTAAGCAACTCAGTGAGACCCTGTCTCTAAATAAAAAAGACATTAAAAAGGGCTGAGGATGTGGCTCAGTGGTTGAGCACCTCTGGGTTCAATCCCTAGTACCAAAAAAAAAAAAAAAGGGGAGTGTCTTCACTCACTAAGATAGAGGGACCACAGGTAATCCACGGAGGGCCCAGCCTCAGTCCTCCCCAGGGCCCAGGGCTCTCCCTCTGGGATCTCTCTCCCCACAAGGGTTCTGGGAACTTGTACCCTTGAGCTCCAGTTGATATGAAGCTGCCTCTGACACTGTTTACTCCCCAGGCTTCAGATCCTCAACCACATGGCCAGTGTGGTGACCTCCATGCCCTCCCTCCACACCTGTCACCAGGGAGCACATGACCACTTCAGTTTCTCTGTCGGGAGCATAGGAATGGGTCCTACCCCATTGAGATGGCTAAAGGGAGCTCAAGGGAAGGGAGAATATCACCAACTGGCCAGACTGGCGATATGAGCTGGGTTGAAAGGAGCTGCTGGATCAATAACTATGAAAATGGCAAAGAAACCACGCAGTACATGAACATAAGTTTCTAAGGCAGGATGGCTCAGCGACCCCAAGGGTCAGCTCCAGTGCTGGAAGGAGCAAGAGAGAGAGCACACCCAAAACAGTGTATTTATTGGGGAAAAGAAATTCGAGAATGTCCCATCTAAATAAGGTGAGGGATTGGGTTTCGAAGGGTGCAGTCTTGCTTGGTGATGTCTTGCGGTCAGCAGAGTGACTGACATCTTGGAAAGCCACACCCACCTCAGGTGCTGTGTAGGATCCCAAGCAGAGCCAGAGAAAAGGCACACATACGTCGCACAGCTCAATCAGGCAGTAATGTCAGGCCAGTCCCCTCAGACGCTCAAATGCGCATAGCTCACGCACGCAGCCCATGGCGGGCTGGTGACAGGACTCAGGACCTCCAGAAATGAACACCCCAGCACTCTCACCTAGGCAGGTGACTGATGAACGAGCAGGTAGGCCCCTTGAGCTGAGCTCTTACTGTGTCCCTCGGGCCCCCTGAGCACTCAGGACTCTGATCACATGCAAGGGGGACCCTGGGGAATCTGTGTGTGGTCACCTGATTGTGGTACTGGGAGGGGACCCTGGGATGTGCTTGGTGGGAGGGGAGGCTGGGCGAGAGAGTTCTGGTGAAGGGCAGGTCCTGGGCCTGAGGAAAGCACAGAAGCCAGAATGGGAGAAGCCAGTCAAAGAAGCTGCCCTCTCCCCAGAGAGGACCATGGGACAGTGGACTCTGAGAAAAGTGGGGCTCTAGGGCCCTCCCAGGGCATATTCTGAGGTTGCTGACCAAGAGGAGACATCTTTGTTCAGCTGGGCCTGTGTGCCCATTTCCCCCTCCCCGCCCAGACCACTCCCTGGTCCTCCTCCAAGTGACCCTGAACAGCCTTGAGCGGCCATGTCCTCTATGAGGTGTGACAGAAGAAGCTGAGCCTCTGAGTGCTCCTGGCTGTCCATCACCAATTGCTCCCACATCCACCTCCTAACTCACGTGTCTGAGAGATGCATCAGGAATATCCCTGGTCCCCAGGACTGGAGACAGGGGATGAGGCCTGCTCTTCCATGTATGACAGGAGGTGCTGACCTCAGTTTCCCATGATGACTGCCAAATCCATCCCTGTGCAGAAGACCCGGCCTAGTCACCCTGGAGCCAGACCTGGGGACCAGGCCCTGCAGCATCAGCACATCCTGCAGCCTGTGTCCAAGGGAGGCTGTTGCTCTTTTCTTGGGAGACAAGGACTGGGGGGAGTAGTGCCTGCCTGTTCCTCAGGATGCAGGTCCCTGAGGCTTGGTCTTTCTGTTTCAGAGATGAAACGTGTCTTTGCCCTTCTCTGATCTGCCAGACTCATGGGGCACTAGGGAAAAACACAGGCTCAGCCCACAGGAGGGGCATGATCATTTCTCCCGGTAGCCCATCAGCCTCAGCAAGTCTCATGGCCAAGCCCAGTATAAATAGGAGGAAGGGGAACACACTCCTCCTCTAGTAGAAGGAGCAGTGAGCTCAGTGGCAAAAGGTAGGGAAGGAATGGGCAGTGCAGAACACGAGTCCACCTACCGCAGGAACCACCATTCATTGTCCTGCTCCTTGAATCCTTGCTTGTGGAACACTCAAACATTTTTTTACTTTGAAAAACCAAATTATTTCTATTAAGTTTATCAAAATTAATTTTAAAATATTTCTGTATTAATTATATTATTTGATTAATAAATATACATAAATAACTATATTTATTTGCTTAGTAAAAACTGTTGACATTTTGAAAAAAAAAACAAATATATTTTGAATGATTTTAAAATTCCCACACCCTGATAGCACACTCCTGTGCAGGTGCCAAACACACACACACACACACACACACACACACACACACACCCTCCCCTCGGGGTACCTGCAGGATCTTGTGCCAGGAAGGTATCAGAAGCACACAGCAAATGACAGGTACGATGCCCCTGGGCAGTCAGCTCATGGACTTCTGTGAGGACTGAGAGGGGGAGACGTGTGGGTCTGCTGGGAGGGTCGGGCAACACAGACCCAAGTTCTGACCCCCAAGGAGGAAGAAGCTCTATTCTCAACAGAGAGCACAGCTGTCTGCAGCAGCTGCACATGCAGAGGGTCCCTGGGCCAGGCTGATGGTGCTCCCAGTACCAACCTGCATCAGAGTGTGGAACCTGAAGTCTTGCCATGCATGTATAGCACTGAGGTTGACAGTGACATTCAGGGGAACCTGCAGCTCCAAACCCCCAAAACTAAGAAATAAGAAAACACCTCACATTTCCCATTAAATTCCCTGTTCCCACAGCACAAGCCACCTGCCATCTACACTAGCAAGTTCAGTCATTCCTAGGTCCCACTCACCCCCACTCCCTGGCTCTCCAGCTGTGCTCAGCTACTGCCACCTCCTGGGGACTCACTGATAATCAGGACTCAGGGGCCTCAGTGCCAGTTTCACAACCTACCAGGAAGAAGGACTCTGCCTTCAGCTGGTCATTTACAATGGTGTGGACAGGGGTGTAAGGCAGCCACTCAGAAGACCTGGGGTAGGAGAGAGGTGGGCAGCCACACAGAGCTGCACAGTGAGATGGGGACAAAGTGCTGGTGTAGGACCCAGGGCCTCAGCTGTGAGGGTGGCTGTGGCTAGGAGCTCAGGAAGGGAACTGAGGAGCACAGAGGTGGGAAGTTCATGAACATTTGCAGGGACAAGGCTGGATTCCCAGAGGACCACTCTGACCACTGTCAGCTGCAGCACTCAGAGCCTGGGTGCCTCCTGGCTGCCCATCAACCAAGTGCTCCCACCTCCATCTCCTAACTCACCTGCTTCCTCCACTGTCTGACTCTAGGGGAAGGTTCCAGATCCTCCTCTGCCCTGCAAGGGGGTGGTGGGAAGCCCAGTTCCCTACTGACAACCAGCAATGGCCCCTGCTGAGGTGAGTGGGCAGGACCACACACCCTGGTCCCCACTCAGGGGTGACAGTGAGGCCCAGATCCTCATGCTCCCTCAGGCCCTGATGGCATCTGTGCCTGGTGACTGTCACATCCCTCCTGATTCTTCCAAGTGAACATACCTGGGAGGACCCATCTCCCATTGTAGAAGTTCCAGTCTAGAATGTTCCACAGCAGCCCTGATGACACCTATTTACACAAATCTTAGGTGACACAGCCTTTAGGGACACAGGCTTACAGCCATTTCCCCCAGTGGCCACACAGGACCGGGCATCAGGGCCCTGAGTGTCCAGCCACTAAGTCTGGGACCCTCCCCCTCCCCATTGACCTGGGCACTGGCGATGGTTTTGGCGTCTGTTCCAGGTTCGAGTTCATGTTGCCCGCCTCCTGTAGGAGCTTCTTCCCTGGAGTCTCTGGTACCGGTCCCAGGGATTTCCTCCTGGGATAATCTGCAGGACTGGGGCTAGAGCAGGAAAGGCAGCGGCACTGGTCTCCGAGGACAAAGAGGCTCACCTTAGCTCCAGGAAGAGCGCGCACGCCCTCTAGTGGACGCTTCCGGCCAGAAGCGCACAGGGGTCCCCTGAGAGGGCAGGTGAGGGCTAACCTTGGGCAAAGGGCACCTTCAGAGAACGGAACTGAAGATGAAAGGGGAGGGGCCTGAGATGGGGAGAACGTGGGGAGTAGGGAGGGAGCTGAGGTACGGAGAGGGGTGGGAAGGAGCAGGGTGAGGGAAGGCTCTGGGGAGGTCAGAGAAGGGCTCAGAGGGCTCCCCTCTCCTCTCCACTGACACTGGGGCTGGTCATCCTTGCGGGGCTGTGTGCTGTGGGGTGTTGAGCTCCATCTGGGATTCTACCTCCTAAGTTCAGTAGAACTCCCTACTCCACCTGCGACTATCAAAAGTGTCTCCAAACGCTGCCAGATGTCCCCTGGATGGCAAAATGGCCCTTGGCTGAGACTCACTGGTCTACACCAACCACCAGTGACTACTCAGCAGATGAAATCCTCCCCTCTTGGCAGGAGACCTGAGTGTAACAGGGGCAGAGACTGACTGGTGCTGGTCACTGTCAATCACTTGAAGTCTCTGGAGAAGACATGTTTCTAGGTGATGGCCGCAAACCTGCCTGAACCTCCACAGCACTGTGGGCTTCCCAAGGGTCAGTAGCCACACATCAGTGACACCTGCTGGGTCCATGACATCATGGACGTGGGGAGCTCAGTGCACACTGAGAAGAGGAAGTCCGTGATCTGAGCCCACACCTAGGACCCTGGACGGTCCCTGGGCCACTCTCACCACCTCAGGAGGCCTCTGAGCAAAGACGGCAAAGTCAGTTCTAAGTTAGGAAGAAAGGTCTTAGTAAGAGGAAAGGACAGCACAGGAATTTCTCTTCATGTTCGAAGTTGTAGACTGTGGCTCATTCATTAAGTTGATTCGACCCCACACAGACCAAGTAGCTGGACAGAGCTGGGGTCTCACCACCCCCTGGACCTGCAGCACTCTGCTGCCCCAACCCTGGGTCCACTCGGAGCCACAGGGGCCTTCGCTGCTCTTCTTCAGGGGGCAGGTGAGAGGGGAAACTTTAGGGTCCTCACCATTCATCTGTCACCTCTCAGGCTCTGGGGGAGTCTGTTGTCCACTCTTGGATTCGATGTCCTTATTCCAGACCTCTGCTGCTCTCACTCATCTTGACATCATCATGGGCCCAAGGTGCCCTCTGCATGTGATCTGAAGGGACACATTCTCAGAGACTGTTCCCTTCATATGGCCCTGAACAGACCTCCACCTGGGGTCCCAACACTGAGACCAGCAGAATTTGGACCATTCTGGGTGGTGGGATGAAGGGGAACCAAGACACTTTCCAGCTCTTGGGGGAGTGTGAGCCCCCTCCCGCTGTGTGCGGGGTGACCAGTGGACATGGACATGGAGCACCTCATTGCTGTGCAGAGAGGGTGAGCCACACGAATGTATGGCAGCTATATGGACAGCACAGTCCACTTAAGTCCACATCATGTGAACAGCTCTCCCATCTCCTTAAGAGACAATTGCAAAATGTGGCTTCACAGGCTTCTCGAAGAACAGAACACGCATCACAGTACCAATAATGGTACTATTTTCCTTACAAGTTCTCATTTTTAAGGTGATCGGAGGGAGGCTTTTCTGCTCACATACCATCCATAATGTTGTGTTCTGGTGGAAATGACTGTGCCCTTCCTCTTTGAAATTGTTACATTACTAAATGCAGCTCCTACCCCCACTCCAGGGCCAACAGTGCCACCCACTGCAGCTAGGCACTCCCCAGGGCTTTCCTTGAGCCTGGACTATCTCTGTGTCCACAGGGTCCCTGACTGGTGGCTGAGGGGCTGGATATGGAGAGACTCACACTCTTTTTTGTCTTTTTTGTACAATTCCAGTTCTCCCTGGAGTCCTGCCTTCTCTGCCTCTGACTCTGCTCACAGGTACTGGGAACTTCTGGAAGCTGAACCCCCATTGGAAAGCAGCCACCTATGCTCAGGTCTGTTGGGCACTGTCTGGTCCCAGTGAGCTCCTTGGGCCACATCCAGCTGTGGGAGCAGCTGCCTCACTGTGTCATAGAGGAGATTTAGCTGGGTATCCTCAGATGGGTGCCAGCAAAAAGACATGAGGAAGGACTTCCATGGAGCAAAACTGATGGCACAGAAAAACCAAGTCTGAAAATGTCTCCATTCTGAGAATGTCATGAGTAGATCAGAATGTCCACTTTCGTGTTTGGACAGGGAAATCCTCATCATGATTTGGTGGTAACATGGGATCAGAATCTGTGAAAGTAAGGAAAGCGGCTGGAGCTCCTCTCAGGCTTAGTGCAGAACTCTAAAGGTTTTGCACAAACTCTACCAACACAACTGCTTTATGACCATGACCAGCTTGTCCATGTGCTCGAGGGACAGAGTAGCAGCAACTCCAAGAAGAGCAGGTTTAGCAGAAACTCTGCACAGAGAAGAACAACAGAAGGAAGATAAGCTGCCCCAGTCCTCTGAGCTGTTGGGAGAGAAAGAAAAATGCCCAGGACACAAAATCCTCTGCTTCTGGAAAGAGAGAGGGGGAGAGGCACCTTCCAGGAAGCGGGAGGCAGAGGGGCAATGGATCCTCACTTGTAAAGACGTTCAAATGTGACAATGAATTTATTCTTTAAAACCCTAAAAGTGGGCTGGGGATATAGCTCAGTTGGCAGAGTGCTTACCTCACATGCACAAGACGCTAGGATCCATCCAGCACCACAAACAATTTTTAAAAAAATAAAATAAAAGCCTAAAAGTATTTACCATAAAAGACTGAACTTGTTTTTGTAAATAAGTATTGACCCATATAGGCTTGAAACAAAATTACTAATAAAATAACAAGGGAATAAGTTAAATATTTGAAATGACAGAATGGAACAAATTATTTACAAATCATATATGTGATATGGGTTTCATGCTAGAATATATAAAGAACAAATACAAATCTGTAACCAAAGCATAGCCTAAGTTTAAAAGAGGCCAAGGAGCCACATATTGGGCATCTGTAATCTCAGGAGTCAGACACAAGATTCACAAGTTTGAAGCCAGCCTGGGCAATTGTCTCAAAAGAAAAATAAATAAATACATGTAAAGGGTTGGGGGTGTAGCTCAGAGGTACAGTGCCCCTCAAAACAATCCCTGGTAGTAAAAAAGAAGGGGGATGGCAAAGGGCTTGGATAGATGTTCCCATGGCCAATAAGCACATGACAAGATGCTCAGTGTCATTAGTCACTATAGAAACAAATCAAAATCACAATGACATCTGACAAAATCACAATGACTCCACACCTTCCTACATTAGCCCAGGGACTCTGAAGCGCTGTGGAGAACACTTGGGCACTTCCTGCCAGAGCCAGGCAGAAGCCCATCCACCCAGCACTCCCACGGCTGGGCACATGCCCACAGGATGGGAAACAGGGACTGCCATAGCTCCCCCAGGCTAAGGCTCGCCACACCATTCTTCACAACAGGCAGGTGTGGAAACAACCCCGTGTCCATCAACAGAGGAATACATAAATAAACATGGCTTACACATATGTTGGATTATTAATTATCCATGAAAAATAAAGTTCTGATGCACAGTACAATCTAGGTAAACCTGAAAACATGACTAAACAAGAAGCAAAATGGTATGTGGTTATATAATTTCATTTATATGAAATATCTGGAATAGGCAAATTCATAGAGATAGGAAATAGATTCAGGGTTACCTGAGGCTACGGGGTCCTGAGAATTGATTGCTTAATGGTTAGAGTTTTAGTGCAGGTAATGAAAAAATCCTGGAAATAGTAGTAGTTGTTATATATTTGAATGGAATTGTGGCATGTATTTGCACATTTAAAAGGGCTAATATAGTACATTTTTATTATAAATATTTCCCAACAAAAAGTCTTCAGGAAAGATGTATAAAATACACCCATTCTGCTCAGATTTTTTTTTTGGTGTGTGTGTGTGTGTGTGAGAGAGAGAGAGAGAGAGAGAGAGAGAGAGAGAGAGAGAGATAGGTATGCGGGACTAGGGATTGGCCCCAGGGGCACTCTACCACTGGACTTTCATTTTTTATTTTGAGACAAGATTTCACTAAGTTGCCCAGGATGGCCTCAAACTAGCGATCCTCCTGCCTCTGCCTCCTGAACATCTGGGATGAGAGACTGTGTTATGCATCTGGCCAAATAATCTTCAAAATACTCACATGAAAACCCCGCAGGCCCTTTGGGCTAAGATCCAAAGATTTAAAGACAAGAAACAAACCAGCCAACTGCAGACCCAGCTCACAAAGCCAGTGCTTACACCCCAAGCCTCAAGAGACACTTCTGGAGGCCCTTCCTTTGAACCCTCAGGAACAGATGGCCCCTCCTGAGGCTGCCCATCCCCTGGGTGCACAGTTCTCCTACTCTGGAGCAGGAGTCCCCAGGACAGCTCCCGTCCTCTCACTAGACTCACCCTGTGTTGGACAGAAAATCTGGGGACCCTCAGTGAACAGGACCCACCCTGCAGCTTGTAGGTCAGAGCTACCTGTGACCAGGGTCAAGGCCAGATCTCACCATTTGGACCCTGGGCAGTATGCCTGCTACCGTCCCTGACACTGGCCACAGTTCTCCTCATGACCACCAGGGGGCGACATGGGACTCACAGTCAACACTTGGCAAATGGATTCTGACACTTGGACCAGGCTTTGGCTCAGGAGGTGGAAATGTGGCCTGATTTCCATCCCCAATAGACCAGGGTGCCTCCCACGAACCTCCTCGGCTCCCACCCCCCACTCCTTCCTGGGCCTGTGAGGACCCTGAGCTGCCAGAGGTCTCTGAGGAAGCCCTTACCTCCTGGCATCACCCATAGAAAAAGTCAGGGTGACCACAGGAGAATCACTAGATAGAGGACAGAGGCCACCCAAGGAAGGCATGGGCAGGCCTGAGACACAGCTCTACCAAAAAAATGGAGAGGGAGGGTCTCCTTAAAACCACTCCCTGAGGACCACAGAGCCTACGGTCACCTACGTGCACTACCACAGTCCTCCCCCCCAGAACAGAAAGCTTATGAAGTCCTGAGATAGCCACTCAGAGGCCAAGCTGGAGACCCCAGGGGTTCCCTGGGTGGTGCTGAGAGCCCTGAGGCCAGGACACAGCTGAGGCCAGTGCTGGGTGAGCCAGTTCTCTCAGGGGACAGCGTCCCCACCTGCCTTGCTCCTCAGGGTGTGGCATGCAGTAGTGAAACCCAACAGGGAAAGCAGAAGGGACAGGAGGCAGGACTGAGAGGGAGGGGACAGAGAGGTTCCTCCACAGAGACCCCGCCCCCAGCCCTGTGACCCAGGAAAGTGCTCCTGCCCTGGGAGGAGGCTGAGCTCAGAGAGGAGCAGGCAGCAGGGCTGAGTGGCCTGGACCTGGGCTTCCCAGCGGGTCTCAGTGAAGCTCCTTCCACAGAGGGGACAGAGCAGAGGGACCATGCAGCCCCCCTCAGCCTGTCCCTGCAGAGGGGGCATCCCCTGGCAGGGGGTCCTGCTGGCAGGTAAGAGGGGACAGTTCCCTGAAAGAGGGTGGGAGGTGGAGCACAGTCTTGCTGGTGCCCTCTGGGGAGGACATGACCCTCACAGGGGACACAGGGCTTCATGGGGAACCCGATGGGAACAGAACACAGAAGACAGACAGAAGCTCACCAACAGGAAACTCTGAGTGACCTGGAGCTGATAAGGGGGATGGGAAGCTCAGGGGTTCTCTTTACTATGTTACTCACCAGGGGCCATTGTATTTTGAAAATCAGTGTGAACAGCTCTGTCAGGGCCACTCTCCAAATAGAAAGGCAACTAGAGCAGTGGACACTGTCTGCAGCCACCAGCCTCAGACATTGGCACAGACACCTGGACGCTCACGGCAGGGACACTGCTTCACCTCCCTGTCAAGACCCCCAACAACCCTCCATACAGGGGACCCAGCTGTGCTGGCTCAGGGTAGAGGCACTTTCAATCCCAACACAGCACAAACAGCACCCCCTCATGTTGGACCAGGACAAGGTTAGTCTGGCCCTGGCCAGTGGCTTGGCCACTCATAACTGTGTCCTGAGCCCACCCTGCTTTCCTCCATATGTTCAGGGGAGTCCTAGAGGCTACCAGGTGCAGAGTGGATGCTGGGAGCGGCTGTCAGTGGCCCTGGGTTAATGATGGGGGGAGCAGAGTCTGGACAGAAACTGGGGTGTCTGTCCAGAAGTGGACGTCAGTGCTCAGGACCCAGAGCTGGTAACTCCTGAGAAGAAGGGACTAAAGCAGACACAGGGAAGTAAGCTCTGTCCTCTCAGACGTGGGGAGCTGCATTGAGTTACCACAGCTTCCAGTCCTGATGCACCACTGGGATCTAAAGATCATTGTACTCTGATGCGGTAGTGCCATGACTCATGACTCGGTCTCCCCCCACCCCCTACCCCACTCGGATAGCAAGGCCAGTCTTCTGAGTAGGCATACCCCTGGGGTTGAGTGACACTCAACCTATTCTTTTGTAATCCTACCCCTTTGCCCTGTTTGGGATAGAATGTTCCATGGAAACTCCCTTTTTGTGTCCCCTTCTCTTGCTCTGCCTTTGGGTATGGCCTTCCTAGGTGTCAGTCAACCTGCTGACAGCAGACGTCAGGAAGCTAGACTCAGCCCCTGACACCTGACCCCTTGCCTCATTTGAATGGCTTCTCCCCAATAAAAGGGGTCAGCACGTGCTCCTCCTCTCTCTCTTCCCACGGACCCCTAAGGTCAGAGGAACCATCACAGGACCCAAAGAAAAAGGTATCTCTGTCTCTGTGTGATTATTTCATGCAGCCCAGGACACCTGGAGTGACCTTGAGTGTTTTAGTCGTGAGAAATGTAAGATCGGGCAAGGCGGGCAGCAACCAAAGGAGGCAGATTTAAAAAGGCCACCAAACAAGGCTTTATTGAGACTCGCTCCCAGGCTGAACTCCATCAGACCGACAGAGTGGACAGGAGGAGGGGCTGAGGAGAAAGCGCGTGGGAGCTCCACCGGACTGGGATTTTACAGGGCTCATGGCAGGAAGGGAAGGGCTTGGGACAGGAAAAGGGATTTTTAGGGTCCCTTGTCCCGCTGGAGTTGGTCAGGGGAGCTGGCTGAGATCCAGGATTGGCCAGGGGGTTCTGCTGATTGACAGGCGTTTCCATCGGTGCCTGATTGATGTTTCTTTCCGGCGCGGGCTGCTTTAATCTAAGTCACCGCTGCTGACCTGACAAGAAACATAACAGTCAGAGACCAGAACATTCCAGGTACCATCCAGCACCTGCTCACTGGAGTCTCAGCCTTGATGATTGTCCCTCACTGACCCTGATGTCCATTCTCCCTCCCCCGCCCAGGCCCTTGTCCCTAGCCTCAGAGATGCTGTTCCCATCTACCAGGTGAGTGTAGGTGAGAAATATTTTGGCCCACTGTCCAGCGGGGACCCAGGAGCTGCCCCTCCCCACACCTTCCTGAGATTTCCAGGAAACAGCAGCCAAAACAGGATCAGGGTGGTGAGCAGGGGAGGGAGGGGCCTGGGAACAGGAGCCACTGAGCCCAGCCAGGGGCAGGCACAGAGCAGTCCCAGGGGGGCTAGGGCCTAGGAGTCTCTGATCCCTGTTCTCAGAAGGACACAGGGTCAGAGGACTCTTGTTTTTTTCAGGAATTACTAAACCCTGACGTGGACAGCTACTGCTGGGTCCATAGCCAAGCTCATGTGGATTCTTAGTTCCCACCAGACAATGCTGCATATGGGCTGAGGGAGGGTCCCACTAGAACCCCAGACCCTCTATGGTGGCGCCTGAGCCCTGGGAGACTCTGGCACCTGGAGGAGGTGGGGTTCCCTGGGTTTCTGGAGACCCAGACAGGCTGCCCTGGGCTCTGAATGGCCAGAACTAGGCTGCCCGTGCCCAGGAGCAGGGGCTCCAGGGAGAGGGAAGGGCCCCTATAGGTCACCTGGAAAGGCGCTGAATAAAGACCCCCTTCCCTCCTTTGCTCTTTTGGTTCATATGGGAACGTCTCTTGGCAGACACTCTCCTCAAGTTCCAGGTCAGCTCTCTCCTGTGTCACGCAGGGGAATCATGGTCTCTAAGTTGCTCCCACAGGGTTCCTCTTCCTGGGAGACAGGAGCTGGGAGGTGGGAGCCAGGGCAAAGGTCAGATCTGTCCACAGGGAAGGGTGAAGGTCCCAAGGCCCTGCAGCCAGCAGAGCACTCAGTGGCCCTCACACTCCAGGGACCCATGGTGGCTGACTGTGGCCACTGATTTCTTTCCTACTCAAAGGCCAGTACTCAGGACATCTTCGCTTCTTCTGGGACATGGGACTGTCAGAGTAATCAGGGGACAGGGCCAGACCCAAACTCAGGCCCTGAACAAGGGCCTCAGGCATTGCCCGAGGCTCCAGCCCTGCCCTCCCATCACCTTCCCTGCCTGGTGTCTCCTCTGCACACTCCAGCACCCAGGGCAGAGGCTCAGGGCTCCCCACATGGGGCTCTCCAGATTCCATGGTGATGGGACAAAGGGTCTCCTCCCTGACCTGGGGCCCAGAATGTCCACTGCAGTCTCTTCCACATACTTGGACCACTGCTCTGACTCCTTCCCTGAAGACTGGGAAGCGTGACGTTTTCCTGTAGGTTCACTTGGATCAGGCCATCACTTTTCTGGATATTAAGAGGTCAATGTACTAAAGCTCAGGGACACTCTCCTAATGCCAAGAACTGTCTGTGCTGAGATGAGAAGTAGGAAGAGACCCTCGGAGTGTCCAGCCTGACTCATCTCTAGTGAGGCTCCTCTGCATGAACACAGCATCACGTCACACACGGTGACTGCTCTCGCCTTGGTGTCCTGGTGCTCTTGGTACAGACTAACTCCCACACAGTGGCTCCGAACAGCAGATACCAAGGTGTCCATTAGCAGCATTCTTCTGTTGGCTCCACGGGAATCAGTTTCCTCACCTTTTCCAGCTTCTAGCTTCCCTGGCCTGTGGGCCCGACTCCATCTTTGAAGAAAGCAAGTGGCCCCTGAAGGCTGTCTGCTCTGCTTCTGCCCCACACCTCTGGCTTCTTCTGTCTGTCCTGCCTCCCTCTCTCACTTACAAAGAAAGGACCTTGTGACTACCTGGACTCACCAGATGGACCACAAGAACCTCTCACAATTATATTAGATTATATGATTAATGTGATTAATATGATTCAATTATATGTGATTAATATTTCCAGAATAGGCAAATATATATGACAGAAAACACTAGCGGTTTTCTAGGATTATGGGATTTGGGGGGAAATGGGAGAGTGACTGCTAATGAATATAGAGTTTCTTGTGGAGTTGATAAAACTTTTAAAATGGATGTTAGTAGTGGTGTACAATTCTATGGATACCTAAAACCATTGAGTTAGACACTTAAAATAGGTGGCTTTTATGGCATGTGTGTTATAGCTCAATAAAGCTATTATAATTTTTTTAAAAAATTTAACCTTTATTTCATTTATTTGTTTTTATGTGGTGCTGAGAATCAAACCCAGGACCTCACTCATTCTAAGCAAGCACTTTACCACTGAGCTGTAACCCCAACCCAAAGCTATTATAAATTAATGAGAAAATGTTCAACAATTCTTAATTTTTTTCCACTGCATGTATTCAGCACCGTATTAGATATTACTGTAATTTTTTTATCAATAATACAATGACCTAAGAAACTCATGGATAAAGGACAGTATATTATGATTAATTCTATTTTTACCCATTCTCTTGTTCTTTTTCCTTCTGAAGTTTTCAGTCTTCTGTTATTTTTTATGTATTTATTTATTTTGGTACCTAGGGGTTGAAACTGGTAGGGGCTCTTTATCACTGAGCTATGTCCCCAGTTTTTTTTTTTTTTGAGACAGGGTCTCACTAAGTCACCCAGGCTGGCCTCAAATTTGACATCCTCCTACCTTGGCCTCCTAAATCACTAGAATTACAGGCATATACCACTGAACCTGGCCTTTTAGCTATTCGTTAAAGACAGTAATAATTTTCTTCATCAAAGAATGTCCTTATTTTCCCTTTATTCCAGAAAAATGTTCCCCCGGCAACTGGGCATGACACGCCATTTTATCAGGCCAACCTGTCCGCTCCCTAGACATAGCTGGCTCTCCTCATACCTTCCACATCTCCATACTCTCATGGACCACAGGACAAAGCAGAAGGGTAACTCCACAACTTTATTTGGTTAATCAAAGGGGTCTGGGTGTTGATACAGCTGGATGGTCAGTACCTGAAGACAAGCAGGAGGCCTAAGAGAATGCCCCAAGAAGGATCTTGACTAGAGGGCCCCGCACCAACAGTCTGGGACTTCTGTATGATGTTGAGGACCTCAGTCACTTTGATACTTCCAATATGATGAAAATCTGATAAGAGATTCTGATATTTACGAGCACAGCCCAAGATGAGGAAGGTGGTATTGAGCGTCCCTATAAGGAAGAAAGGGAAGATTCAGGGACGTTTCAAGAGAGCCATTATCCAGAAGCTCCTCACAAACCAGGACACCTCCTTTTCCCACCAAAGACTAACCCACCAGGCACCTTACCCCTTCCTCCTTGGAATTCTTGTGACTGGTCCCCTCTACCCAGAATCCCATCTCCAGACCCCATCAGCCTCTCTCAGAGGTTTGTTTTAAGTCATTAACAGCACCTGGCATACAGCAAGCATTTGATAAACAAAGTTCCTCTCCTCTCACCTGCCTGAAATTTGAAGGTGGAACTGAAACAGCTATGGGCAACAGAGGGACAAGTCTCAGTGGAGACAAAATTTGGAAGACACTCCTCATTGTGCCTGCCCACACACGTTGGGCAAGTATTTGAAGAACTTGAGGTAGACTTAGCAGATTTGGCCTTGAGCCTCAGAAAAGGCTGCAAGTTGGTGAGGTTATTGCAGAGAAAGGTCCGGCAAACGTGACTATAGGAGGCAATGGACACTCCAGGAGGTGAAACAAGGTAGGAGACTTGCTGATGATAAGATAAGCTTGAAGTGCAGCCTTTAAACCCCACAACTCCCCTTCTGGTCCCTGAGGAGCAGAGGATTAGAGAGTTCTGATCAGTGTCATTGGCCTCACCAAAGTCCACCCTTCTCCCTCATCCCTGTGCTTTCTGTGCCCTCTGCCCACCCCGACACCTTTGCTTCTTCCCCATGTTCACTCACTGCAGCTGCATGAGGCTCAGATGCTGAGGTCTCCATCTTTGTCTCTTTAACCTTCTCCCTACAGGGGTCCCTCTGCTCTTCCCTGTGTCCCATCCCTTTCTCTACCCCATATTTCCCCCTCCTCCAAGATCTGCCCATCTCCATTTTGTGCTGTTAATCAGCCCACACTATAAACAGCTGGGACCATCACTGCTCTTGCCAGTGTCCTGACATATTCCCAAACATACAATGACGTCAATATCTGGAACTCTAGTCCTGAGTGCTGGGAGTGGAGCTAGGGGTAGAAGAGTGAGCAGAAGGAGATTATTAAACCCACCCCACTTCACCTGACTCAATGAGCACTAGTGTCTCCTCACAGCCTTCTCTCAGCTTACACACCATGCTCCTCATCAGAAACCACCTCCAGTTATGGAAGGTAACAGCTCTGAATGCTGAGGCTCTTGCTTCATAGCACAAAAGAGTATCAGCCCCTAAAAAGAGAATGAACTTCCAGGCATCTGCCCCACATCACCTTCTCAGGCCCTGAGTTCCAACCAAGAATTCAGCCTTGGACCTAGATACCCAGCCCTCCTTCCCCAAATGACATGAATCCAGCCTCCCACCTTTTGAGGTCTTAATAGCATTCAGCCCCCCAAAGACATACAAGGTAGAGAAGAGATGGCCCCTAGGAGGCAGAGCAGATGCACAGGTCTCAAATGCTGGGGTCCCATGGTCCTGTGTCCTGTATGCTAAAAGTCAGTCTGAAACCAATTTCAGCGTGGGTTCCAAATTCAGTTCTTGGCAGTCCCTAAATTTTCTGTTCACCCACTTCTGGGTCACTGTTTCTGGAGCAGAAAGTTGACTGCATCAGCTACTTGAGGACTTCAGGAACACAGCCTCCCCATTTCCATGGTCTTCCCTCCAATCTAACCCATTCCCACCACATCAGCTTCTCAAAGCACAGCTCTAATTCTCCCACTTAGGTCCTCCCACTAGCCTTGGTCGGATCTGAAGGACCACTATTGCACAGGCTGTTCTCCAGTCAGACACAATGACAGCAGAAAAACAAATGGATGCTCACAATTCCTATGAGTGGAAGTCAATCAAAAGACTACTACACACCACTTGGCTCAATAAAGAAACTAGAAAATATTTATGACTGAATAATATTATAATGCATACCACACACGAGTACATGCCAAATCCACTGAAAACTCAATAACATCTGTAGACTAGTTAAGAGTATTGTACCAATTTCTATTTCTCACTCATATGCTATAGTTATATAACATGTCCCCACGGAGAAGCTAGAGGAAGGGTTCAAGGTACTTCATGTATTATTTTCGCAACTTTCTATGAGCCAATAATCATTTCACAATTGAGAGATTTGGGTGTTTTTTTTTTTTAAAAAAAACAACATACCAAATTTTAGGATACAATAGTATTTACAAGTAAACCTATATTTTTAAATAAATTTATCAGGAAAAAAGAAACATTGAAAAATAAATATGTTCATGAATTAGCTCAAGAGGTTGTATAAGGAAAAATGAAGCACACACTCCCAAAATAAGAATAGAAATAAAAAGGATGGCAGAAATCAATGAAACAGTAAACAACAACACACATTATTATTAAAAAAACCCTAATGTTCATTCTTTGAAAAGATTAATAATATAATTATCTGGCAAATGTACTCAAGAGAAAAGATGCAAATAAAATAAGAATGAAAAATGGGAAGTGACAGCAGATGTTTTATAAATAATAAAAGTATCATTAACAACTCTACATTGATAAATTTGAAAACCCAGATGCAGTGAATAAACTTTTAAAGTAATAGAAAATGCCAAAATTAGCATAAGAATATACATAATGCAGCACTGGGAGTGCAGCTCAGTGATACAGCACTTGCCTAGCACACTTATGGCCCTGGGTTCAATCCCCAATAAGGGGGGCTGGAGGAATAGCCAAGGACCTCCTGAAAATCAACCAGAAAAAGACAGCACCCCTGTAGGAAAATGGACCAAGTATATGTAGAGGCAGTCCTCCGACAAGCAAGCAAGAAAGGCTAACAAACACACCTAGCAATAATCAGAGAAATGCAGCCTCCTCAAACTGTACATCTCTTGGACTGACTATAATCAGGAAGCTGGAAACAGACAAGTTTTGGCAGCAATGTGGGGATAAAGGGGTCCTTGTGCACTGCTGTTCATGTGATGGTTGGTGGGATGGTGGATAGGGTTCTTTTCCAGATCCTGAGGAACAGAGGAGTTGAGAGTTCTGATCAGTGTCTCAGGCCCAACACAGCATTGCAGAAGGAAGTCTGACGATATTTAATCAAATTAAGTATGTAAATATGCACTTCTGGTATATCCTCGATACAAAAATTTCCACCCTTAGGTTTTTGAGGATACAAGCATTATTGTGATGGGTAAGCAGAGGCAATAGGCACATCCCTTCCTGAGACCAACTGAACACACAACATGAAGGGATATACACCACACAATATCATGGCAGTTAGATGCAACTGATTAGATGTACACTTGTGTATGTGCATGGGTCATAAAAGTACAGATGTGATTATTTTAAGTAGTAAATAATAATACCATGGGCATAAATTTGAAAATATGCAAAAATCTCTACACAATTTTGGGACAATCCACACAAACCAAAAGATACACATTAAGCACCTTAGAATGACTGCATATAGGAAGGTTAGGGAATGAAAGGGGGAAGAAGGATTAGTGGAAATAACTAAAACAATGTAGGATGGGGTATGAAGTTCATAGGTCTTGCACGCAAAGAGAGACCAAAGCTGGAATCTTTATCCTGCCGCTTACCAGCTACGCGATCTTCCACAATTTGTTGAACTCTTGAGTCTGCTTTTTCATTAATAAAATGTATTAATAATATATCTTACAGGATCATTGTGAAGATTAATAAGATTATTAATATAAAGTACAGGCAAATGCTGAACTCTATAAATGTTGGTTCCTCTCTCCCTTCTCCATTTAGAGGATCCAATTCAAGTTGTTTAGCTGGCATTCAAGCCTTCCCCCACCTCACCACCCCCAAGTTGACCCCAAACAACCTTTCAATTTTATCTAATATGGCTCCCTGCACAGCAGTCCAGCTGGAGGTCACTTTTCAAGCCTGGAATGCCACAGATCCGCAGGGTTTGTGGCCCAGAATACTGCAGAAAAGAGGCTAAGGTCCACAGAAAAGAAGGGACATGGGAAGGGGAAATGAAGGCTAATAAAGGATTACATAGAGGTGTTATTCCAACCAGAGAAAATCGCACAGACCAGCCCTTGAAGCAAAACGACAGAATAGAACAACCTAAGCACAAGTGGAGATACAGTCAGAACAGACTTGAAATGAAACCCAGAAAGAACAAAGGATGGAGTGGTCAGAGGGGATGATACCCCTACGAAAAAACAAACCTACAGAGAGGAGAAGCAACCTGATGGACTGGAACCCTGCAGGGAGACAAAGGACCAGCAGGGACAGCACAGCAAAAAGGCAGGAAATGAGGAGTGAGGCACTCAAAACAGTGAACGAAAGAAAAGGAGACAGGGTGGGATGGACAGAGAAAAGGGGATCATACAGAGAGGATGGGGAAGGAAAGTGTGAAATGGGTGTTAGGGAAACGCGGGGAAGGCTACCATTAAGAGTCCTGGGAACAGTTGAAATCCCTAGAGGCATGCAGAGGGCAGAGGGCCTCGAAGAAAAAGTACAGACGCGTCTCTGGAGGCAAAGAATGCAAGAAAGGGACGCAGGTTATCAGGGAATAAATAACCAGAAGAAAATGGGTCCAAAAAGCAGCAAGTTGAACAAACAGAAAGAAGGTCAGACAGAGAGACAAGGGGTTCAACTTGAGAAGATGAGACCCTGGAAGGAAAAAGGGAAATCACAGGTTGGGGAAATGCATCAGAGGCAAAGCATAGATTCGGAGTTGGGAAACCGGAAGAGAAGTGAAAAAGAACAAGCAAGTTCACGCAGCGAGGATCAGCAGCGAAGGCAAAGCCCGGAGCGCAGGCCAGAAATGAGACTGCGCATGCGCCCACAGTCTGGTCAACGCCTGGGGGCGGGGCCGAGCCTACCGTTCCTGGGGGCGGGGGGTGGGCCAACCTCGGTCCGGGAGGCAGTATTCGACGCCCCATTGGTCACCTTCTCCAAAAGAGGAAGAACAATCTAAGAAGGCAGGCCATGGGGGGAAGGGCAAGACTCAGCTCGACGCGCTATTGGCTGGCCTGATGGTCTGGCGCGCGGAGAAGTGGGCAGGAGGGAAGGGGCGGGCCATCAACGTACGGATCTCGAAGCACATTGGCCACCGGCCTGAACAGCAGTAGGCGGTGCTTGAAGCTCATTGGCCCTTGTGATAAGGGGCGGGAAAACCAGCGCGAGCGCAGCCGTTCCTCTAGCCACTTTCTCGTCCTTTCCCTTGGTCACCTTCTGTCTGAGTCTGACTCTGCTCTCGCGGCTGTGGTAACCACGGACCGGGGCGCGAACACGACCCCCCCTCCCTGTTCCTTCTGCTCCCTCTCACTTGGCACTGGATCTCCCCACAGGCATCCTCTCGCCCTTCCCCTCGCGCTCCTCGTGCCTCTCTTCTCCCTTCCCCCACCCCGCGGGCCCCTGGGCTCATTCTCGTGCCCTGCCCCCTCCCAGGGACGCTGGAGCAGGGCGGAGCCACAAGTCCAGTGTTTGGGGGGATGGCTGCTGGAAGGGGTTGCATGAGAGATAAGGTTGCATAAGGAGGGGAGGATGCATGAGATTAATTGTTATTAGTGGGTACAGGGGCTTAAGCACTGGGTGCAGCCACCACTGCACAGGTTCGCCTGAAAGACTGGATGCCTTCTAGATGCAGTGGAGAAATTGACGCCATCAGTTGAAGAATTTTGGTGTTGATCAGGGCCTCGCACATGGCTGGAACTCAGTAACCTGTCCAGTGAAGGAATGCGTGAATTAAAATAACTATTGAAAGTAGGGCAAGGAGCAGGGTGGGAATGTGGCTTAGTGGTAGAGGACTTCCCTACCATCCATGAGGCCATGGGTTCTATCCCCCAGCACTGCTCAAAAACAAAAGGAAAAAGGAAAGAAGAGCAAGGAATTCATTAGAATAACGTAGAACAAAATCGGACTGGAGGAGTGTGAAGGGCAGACTGAATTCTGAATTGTGGGTATTGTGGGGCTAAGAATTGAGGAGGGCATAAAAATATTTTTAGGGATTAGATAAATGCAAGCCATAGGATGACAACTGTTGAAAATGATGCCAGGAAGAATTCTTGGATGGAATGGGATGTTTGTAGAAAGGGGGTGCAGATACCATTGAGGGGGATCCTGGGAGGACATGTATATGCCTCAGACTGAGTTCTGTCATGGGAAAGTGTGTAGATGAGCAAGATAATGATGTCTGCATTGAACACATACCTAAGAAAGGCCAGGGCAGGGGGTTCTTAGGAAGATCCATGAGAAAGGTCATGAGGTGAAAGCTGAGTCCAGAGTGGTCAGGCTGGAGAATCATGGTGTGGCCTCTTCAAGGCAGAAGGGTTAGATTAGGGTTACTTAGGGGAGGGACCACATGCCCATCCTGAACTGCCACTCCTGCCCCTAGATCCATGGAACCCAGTGAAACACCTGCTGTACACCACTGCCCTGCTGACTCTGTCCTGGGAGGTGAGACCAGAGCCCCCCAGAGCACAGAGCTTATCCCCAGAAGAGCTGTCAGTCGCTCTCCAACCTGTGCCCGCTGCCGCAACCATGGTGTCACTGCCCACCTCAAGGGCCACAAGCGCCTCTGCCTCTTTCAGGCTTGCGAGTGTCACAAATGTGTCCTTATCCTGTGAGTATAAGGGAGGGGAAGAGGATGGGCTTCCTCTAAAGGGTGGCTGACTTTTGACTTGCACCCCCACACACACTTTAGGGAGCGCCGAAGGGTCATGGCTGCCCAGGTCGCCTTGCGCAGGCAGCAAGAGGCACAGCTAAAGAGGCATCTGGCTCAGGGACTGATGAGGAGAGGAACAGCCCCTCTCAAAGCTCCCACCGGTGTCAAGAAAGGAGCCACTCGACCAGGGGTCCCCTGTGAGTGTCTCTGACTGGGAATGGGACAGGGATTTGGGTATAGAAAGCATAAGTGGAGAAGAGAGTCCTGCCACTGAATTGATATTTGACCCTGGGCAAAGTCACCCCAACTAAAATGTGATCAAATGTTGTGAGGATACAGTGAGATCTGCAGGTAGAACATGGTCAGAGGGACATATGAACTCAGATGGGGCTGGGATAAAACAGAGGTCAAAAGAAAAGACTCACTAGAGCTCTCTGGTCCCTCACAGCTGGAAAGGAGAACATAGCACCCCAGCCTCAGAGCCCCCATGGGGCAGTCCCACTGGCACTGACACCTCCTGGGAAGGTAAGGAAAGCCTGTGCCCTGAGAGAGTAGCTCCCAGCCTAAGTCCTGCAGAGACTTCTTCCTCTGTGCCCTCAACACCTGATACTAGCCCCTACCCTAACTTACTGGGTAATCATGGGCAAGTCACTTTTGTGGGCAAAATGACAGTACTGGACTTTTAAGTGCCCCACCACCATTTAGGGGTCCTACAACCATCCCAGAATATACCCATTCCTTCTCCAGCCTTGTACCTAACTCTAACCTATGCCCTCTGCCCTTTCAGGAGAACTCCTGTGGGCCTCTGCTGCTCAGCCGTCCCCCAGAAGCCTTGCCTTTACCCTGGACTCCAGTGCCTCCTGGCCCTTGGGGACCAGGGCACTGGCTGCCTCCAGGCCTCTCCATGCCACCTCCAGTGGTATGCCGCTTGCTATGCCAAGAACCTGCTGTCCCTCTACATCCCTGCCCTGGTAGGAAGATAGTTCAACATTCATTCAACAGATACTTGTGTGCCAGTTTGCCACTATCAGAAAATGAAGAGCTCTGCATTTTCTTACCCACCTTAGGCTTTGACCCTGGCACCTCCCTCCGGCTGCCCACCCACGGGTCCCTCCCAACCTTCCCAGGATCTCGCTCAGTACTGACAGCTCCTCTTTCTGGAGAGCCCCAAGGGCCCCCTGGCCTGCCCCACACGTGAGTAGAGAAAGAAGGATGTATATTTATTCTGAGCCTGACTCTGTGATGGATGATAAAAAAGGAAAGGTCTCAGGCTGGGGCTGGGGCTCAGTAGCAGAGCGCTTGCCTAGCATGTGTGAGGCACTGGGTTCGATTCTCAGCACCATGTATCAATAAATAAAACAAAGGTTCATTGACAACTAAAAAATATTAAAAAAAAAAAGAAAGGTCTCAGGCTAATAGGTGAGGCAGAGTTCTCCTAACTCTAGTATTTCTTAGCTGTGAACCTTGGAATAAATGTCCATATTTTTCTGAGCCTGTTTTTCTATTGGCAAATAAGATATGCTATTACTTTCAGTTGTCATAATAATTAACAATAATGTATGTAATATACCTAGCCCAGGTCCCAAAACCTTGAACAAATAGCTATGAAATCCTCTTAAACAGATAAGATGAATTAGGATTGCCTGCAAAATGGAAGGCCACCATGACAAGAACCTTAGAGGCCAAGGAAAGAGGCCAGAGGTCATTAGAGAAAGCTTCTTGAAGGTGGGATAGGGGAACTGGGGGAGAGAAACCAGAATCTGGTAGGGCAGGGACATAATCTCAGTCCCTCTATGTATTTTGTCCATTTTTTAAAACTGACACCAATGATTTCCTATAATCTGGGCAGGAAAAACTGACAGGAATTTTCATTTTATGGAAAACAAAGGAGGCTAAGACAGTAAACAGGATTTAACCAGGCCCATAAAGTCCAGTGGCCCAGCAGCCTCTCAGCTTCCCAGATCAAAATGTATATATGTCTGTTTATGTGACTGATATGACCTGGCATCTCTCCTTGTTTCTAGATGCTCGACTCTGATACTCCAGTCCTGTGGCACCCCAGACTCTCTTCTGCTACAGCCACAGGTCCTGGGAAAGAAATGGCATCCAAGACCCAGGGAGGAGGTTGAGCCTGGGGAAGGAAAAAGCAAGGAACTGTAAAAGAACCAGGGGCAGAGGAACACCTGCAGGGTGGGCAGAAGTGGGGATTCCCAGTCTGCTTTTTTCCCTTTCCTTTGCAGGCCCCTGGAGCCTCTCGCCTGGCCTGGACATCTGCCCCCTCAGAGCGGCAGCTGCAGCGGGAGGCAGCTGAGGCACTTGTGGGTCTGAAAGATTCATCCCAGGCTCCCCGCCTGACCCCTTCTGTCCCCCCCAACCCTGCCTGGATTTCCCTGCTCCACCCCTGTGGCCCACCAGGTAACCTGCTTCCTGAAAGGGGAGGATGGAATAAGAATGGCACTAAATGGAGGTCACTAGAACAAGCAGAGATCAGGGATGGAGATGAGGGAAGGGGTTAACAAGTTGAATGTCCTCAGATCCTCTAGTATTCCAATGTCAAGGAAAATTAGAGAGGTGGAGATTTTTCCAATGGCATATAGCCAGACAGTGTGGAAGCATGTCTCCTGACTCCAGCCCCAAGGTTCTCTCTCCAGACCCTATCTGCTTGCTGAAGTCTGAAAAGGGAATGAAGAAGTAACCAGGGTCTGACCTGAGAAGAGATGATAACTACCTTCCAGGGGTTTCCTTCCTGCTTAGGGAATCTTAGGGATGCTTTCACAAGGCTCAGTGGTGAGACCATAGAACTCTTAAGGAGTGAGAAACACTCAGTTTCAATTTGTGGACAGAGAGGGAAGGCTGAGAGCCTTTCTGTTCCAATAGTGGATTGGCTTAGAGGAATTGCTGCAATAGGGAGAGATGCAGCCAGACAGGCTTCTGATTGTGGAGATATGGCATGCTGGGTTTAAGAGTTTACCCAAACAACTGTGCACAAAGGGGAGCCAAGAAATGTTTCTAAACTTGGCAAGATATATCCCAGAGAGCCTGAGCTTGAGAAAGAAAAATATGGTAGCTTTAATGGAGGGGCTAGAGAAGGCAAGATTGGAGGTGAGGAAATCAGCAAGAGGAGGTCTGTGCAGTTAGCAGGTGAACAAGGGTGAGGTGGAGCAGATGAGGTAAACAGAGATCTGCTGGGAGGGGAAACGGATATGATCAGGTTCTACCTTTTCCTGCCTGTAGCTCCTGCTGGAGGAAGAGGATTCCAACCTGTCGGCCCCTCTCTCCGACCCAGCCCAGCTCCTTCAGTATCTCTGCATATTGGGCGCCTGGGGTCCATCTCCCTTCTGAGTTAAAAGCCCAGAGGTGGAGGCTGCCTCACTGGGGCAGGAAACCAATAGCCCACAGGCACTGCATATTTGGTATTTTACTTACAGATTTTTGCATGGAATTTAATATACTACAAGCTTCAGGATTTTTTTTTTAAGCTTTCAGGTGCTTTGTTAGCTTTCAGTTCCTTTTATAGTGTGGGCATTTCCTTGGCCAAAGATGGATATTTTCATACCCTTCCTTGGGTCTAGGATCTTTTTAAGTATCCAAGAAACAAAGAGTTGTGCAGTTTAAGCTGACCAGTATCTAAATACTTTTCTGCATGAGTTCATGTTCTGTATATACCTATGCACTCATGTCTGCTCCATGCATATGAAAACAGGAGAGTACTTTCATTATGTGTCTAGGTTTGTGTGAATAAGCAAAAAATAAACATTTGTTGTTTTAAGTACTGAGATTTGGGGATTATCTGTTACTATAGCCTAACCTTGTCTATCCTGACAGAAAGGACTTGTTCAATTCACCTCTCATAATGAAAATCAGTTATTTAAGATTTACTACAAGGACTGAGCCTTGCATGCCTGAGGCTCTGGATATATCCCCAGTACCACGAAAAAATACCACAAATAAGGACTGAGGTTGTGGCTCAGTGGTAGAGTGCTTGACTAGCATGTGTGAGGCCCTGGGTTTGATTCTCAGCATCACATATAAATAAAGGTCCACTGGCAACTAAAAAATATTTTTTTAAAATACCACAAATAAGCACAAACTTGGAATTCTTATTATGACCATATAACAGTTTCCTGCTATCCAGAGGGCAATAAATTGAAATACCTACAGGACTGAGCAGACCATATAAGCGAGTTAAAAGGGGGAGGTAAAGGCTAGCAAACTGAAAATACATGCTTTACTTAAAGGGGCAGACATTTTTGGCCCTAGTGGATTGTTGCCAGGCAGAAACATGGGCTCAGAGTTGCCACATCTTCTGATTTTTCAAATAAAATTGAGAAACTTTTTTTTTATGTTCAACATCTTAATTTTTTTAATGTTGGCACATTTTTCTTCTTTATATCTTATGTGGGCCAAATAAAACATACCCAAAGGCCAGCTTTGGTCAATGGAATGTCAATTTGATGCTAAACTAAGATGACATTTTCCAGATGGAGAAACTGAGGCCAATCAGGACAGGAAGCACCAAGTTAGTCTTTATCAAAAAGAGTTTTTCCTGAACTAGGGAGGTTTCTGTGTCTAAGCTTGGAAGAATTCTTCCAAACAATCATTACCATTTATTAAGTATTCACTATATTTGATACACGTATATCCTAACAGTAACTCAGTAAGTTGTGAATTACTTCCATTTTATTAATAAAAGAAGAGGCTAAAAGAAGTAAAGTGACTTGCTTGAAATTTTAGGGAAATTTTCTAAGCAATACTCGGGAGGATTCCTTCTCCTTTCCAGTCCTCAAATGAATTAATAGATAATTTTTATAAAGCACAGAATCTTATCTCCAGGGGATAGATATGAATCAAAGTTTTTCAAAAATGTCTTGCTTTTTCTACTCAAGCTATCATTAATAAGAGCTTACCTACATTTGTTTCTTAGTCTTCTGCTGTTGAGTCTCCTTGAGATGTTCCAAACTTATGAAGACCTATGAGCTACGCTATTCTAAAGATATGCAGACCTGGAGACCCTATCCATACCCACCCTTAGAAGGGGCAGACAGAAAGTTCAAAGGACATGCCTGGTCACTGACTGTTTTTCCTGATGTTACCTATGCCCCTTTTTACTCTTTTTATTTATTGGTAGTGATGATGTCCAATTACAGCTTGTTCTTATTTAGGGCCTTACAAAGGTGGCTCCTAACAGATTACAGAGTGACAAACCTGCAACACTTCTCAGGAGACCTTGCAAGATATCAAACGAACTGAAGTCCACTTGACATCTTCTTTTACTCCCTAGTTATAACTTAGATATATGATTGCCCTTTAATAGACCTGCCTAAGCCTTGCTGTGCCATGCTTTCCCAGTGACAGAAGTCACAAAGCAGGGAATCACTGTTACTCAGACTATGCTAAGACTTTGCTACTCAGGGCTGACCAAGGTTCCCCAGTATGCCAGGGTCACTCATTTGGGAAGAAAATGAGAGTATAATTTTGGGAAAAGGATGGCATGAGAAGGGACCTCCATTTCCCTGGAGCCCACCTCCCCAACAATGCTAGTATTTTTCCAAATCATTAGTACCTCTCATTGGTGCCTGGAGGAGTCGGGCAGATCTCCTGAAAGAGGTCAGCCTTAGGAATGGGGTAAATTTAAGAATTGTTCATGCAGGCTAGGGTTGTGGCTCAGTGGTAGAGCACTCGCCTAGCACATGTGAGGTCCTGGGTTCGGTCCTCAGCACCACATAAAAATAAATAAATAAAATAAAGGTATTGTGTCCAATTACAACTAAAAAATAAATATTTTTTTAAAAATTGTTCATGCTTCCACATTGCTACCTCTTTGAGTACAGCACTCTTCATCCACAGTTGAGAAAACCAGCCTCCGAGATTTTAGCCAGTGGACTGTGAGCACTGTTTTTCCTATACAACCCTCTTTCCCACTTGCCACTGCAAAGTTGGGAATGGTGTTGCCATGGTCCACTGGAGTACTGAGTAAGTCTCTCCCCTTCACATGCTCTCTCAACACTCTAGAAATAACCAATGATTTCAAATATGAAGCACCATTATACTCCTTTCTTTCCTCACAAGACCCTTCCCCAGAGCCATATACATTTTTTTTTCATTTTGCAGTACTGGAAACTCAATACAAAGGTGCTCTATCACTTAGCTAAATCCCCAGGGCCCCCAAAACCTTTTTTTAAGATTTTTTTTTTAAGACAGGTCTCACCAAGTTGCTTAGGGCCTTGCTAACTTGTTGAGGCTGGCCTTGAACTTGAGATTCTCCTGCCTCAGCCTCCCAAGTAGCTGGGATTATAGGAATGAACCACTACACTTTGTGCATCCCTAGCCCTTTTCATCTTTTACTTTTAGATAGAGTCTTGATAAATTACAGAGGCTGGCCTGGAACTTGCAGTGCTCCTGCTTCTGCCTCCCCAGTCATTGGAATTACAGGCATGTGAAACCATGCCAAGCTAATTTTGTTTTGCAGTACTCTGCAGTGAACCCAAGGCATCAAGCATATAGGCAAGCACTCTACTTGTGATCCTTTCATCTCAGCCTCCCAAGTAACTGGGATTATGGGTATGGGCCACCATGCTGGGCTATACCCAGGTTTTATTTCAGGAGCACAGTTCACAATTCTGCCATTTGAGAATTCATGTTCCCTTCACTTCAGCCCTACTCAAACTTCGTCCATTCCTGACCACATTTCCAGTCCAAGGTAGCCATGATATCACACCACCTATCCTGTCCAGGTTATCCTCAGACCCTCGTTCCTGGATCATGTAGTGTTTTAGTCAGCTTTTTCACTGGTGTGACTGAAAGCCCCAACCAGAATAACTGTAAAGTAGGAAAGGTTTATTTAGAGGCTCATGGTTTCAGAGGTCTTAGTCCACAAAAGGGCAGCTCCATTCCTCGGGGCTCAAAGTGAGGCACAACATCATGGTTGAAGAGTGTAGTGGAGGGAAGTAGCTCACGTGGTGATCAGGAAGCAGAGAGAAAAACTCCACTCTCCAGATACAAAATATATAATATACCCCATGGCCACACCCCCAATGAACCACTTTCTCCAGCAACAACACCCACATTCCAGTTACCACTTAATCCATTAGGAATTAATTCACAGATTGGGTTAAGTCTATAACCCAATCATTTCTCCTCCAAATCTTGCATTGTTTCACACGTGAGCTTTTGGGGGACACCACATCTAAACTATAACATGTAGGCTCATTCTGTAACCATGACGCCTTATGTAGTTGGTTTTGCAGCTCATGACAAATGTTCACATGTACACAGCCTTAAAACTCATGTCCTGCATAGACTCATGAAAATCCTAAGCTCTTCCCTAAAGCAAGATTATCCTTTTCATCTCTATTGAACCCATTAGTCAGAGTCCTTATGTTCCTTAGGGGTCCTTGCCCCCTATTTAACAGACCTGATTATCTTAAACTATGCCTGTGTCCATCTGTGTCCATCTCTATGCCCAGAATAACTATTCTCAGAGGACAGCACCTAAGACTGGGGTGTAACTCAATGCCAGAGTGTTCTCCTAGTACCAACAAGGTCCTGGGTTCCATCCCCAGCACGACAAAAAAAAAAATTTTAAAACAATCCAGAGGCCAAGGCCTGTTTTCAGTACCTCTTTGTGAGATTTCAGAATATATGGGTAAAAAAGGTGTTTCCAATACCTTAGGAATTGTTTTTCCTGCCCTCAAGTCATTCTTTTAATGTAGTTTATTTTTTAGAGCAGTTTTGGATTCACAGCAAAATGAAGTAGAAAGTGGTGTTTATGGGGCTGGGGATGTGGCTCAGGCGATAGCATGCTCGCCTGGCATGCGTGCGGCCCGGGTTCGATCCTCAGCACCACATACAAACAAAGATGTTGTGTCCGCCGAAAACTAAATAATAAATATTTTAAAAATTCATTCTTCTCTCTCTCTCTTTAAAAAAAAAAAAGAAAGTGGTGTTTACATACACCACTCTCTTCCTACATACACAGTCTCCACTGTTTCCATCTCTCTCAACACCCTACACCAAAGTGATACATTTTTTTTCCAACTGATGAGTCTATATTAACACAACTCACCCAATGTCCACAGCTTACATTAGGGTTCACACTTGGTGGTATGCATTTTTTGGGTTATAACATAACAACATATGTCTATTATTATAATATCAAAGAGAATAATTTCACTACCCTAAAACTCCTCTGAGAAACATCTATTCATCCCGCCCCCCAACAAAACCTTGACAACCATTAATCTTGTTAGCTCCCTGAAGTTTTGCCTTTTTCCAGGATGCTATATAGGTGAAATTATATAATATGTGGCTTTTTCAGATTGATCAAATTATACATATTAAAGTTTTCTCTAGTCCTGTCTTTTTTTGGGGGGGAGGGTTGGGGACTGGGGCACTGGTTATTGAATCTAGGGATGCTTAACCATTGAGCAACATTCTTAGCTCTTTTTACTTTTTATTTCAAGACAGGGTCTCACAAAGTTGCTGAGGCTGGCTTGCTAAATTGCTTCTTGCTCTTGAGTTGCTGGGATTCCAAGCATGTGCCAACATGCCTGGCTTTCTGTCTTTTCATAGTTTAATAGCTGATTTATTTTTAGTAGTAATAATATTCCATTGTCTATATGTATCACAGCCTCAAATCTATTTTTTGGGGGGAGGGCTGTGGATCATACTAAGATCCTAATATATGTTAAGCAGGTACTGTACCACTGAGCCAAATCCCCAGCCCTTTTTAATTTTGAAATAGGGTCTCTCTAAGTTGCTTAGGCCCTCACTAAATTGCTGAGGCTGGCCTTGAACTTGGGATCCTCCTAACAGCCTCCTGATTCCTGGGATGGGAATACAGGCCTGTGACATCATGCCTGGCTATGTAAGTGACTGGACTAAATCTCACTTGCCTACTGTATAACCACCAAGCAAGGTTATTTATTATGTATCTGTAAAATCTAACAGGTATAAAAATTAACACTAAGGACACAGTGCTGAGAAGCCATGATCTCTGAAATCATAGACTATAAGAAAGTCAGCTCTTTAAAAGCATAGAAATAACAAGAATGGGCAGCTCATGCTTACCTGGAGGGTCTAAGTCACTCTGATACAGAGAAGCAGTCATGATTTCCAACCCAGATGAGAACTTCAGAGAAAGGATTCCTAGAGACAACAATGCACATTTATCCTAACCCTTTATTTCCACAGAATCAGCACTGTGAGTCTGCTTCTCCACCAGACAAGATGCTAACAATTACATAGGGCCCACTGTACCTAAATTCATCAAAACTCTGTTTACCATAAATTTTACCTAAGCTTCACCCTTCCCAAATTCCTATACTAACGCCATTCTTGTACTATACGGTACTCCACATTAACTTTGGAGATCTCTTTTTTAAAAAGAGATATAGAGAATGATTCCATGAATTGGCCACAATGAAATGATTTAGAACTGGTATTAGAAATGTCTAAAAAGTGAACAAATTATCCAAGTAAATGGAAATTTCCAGTTAAGCATACATGACAATACATATTCAAGGACATATTTTTTTTCTGGGAGGAAAAAAGTCAAGATACTAAAAATATTCTTGTGTTTTCAAAGTGTGAGAAATGGGGTTCAACAGCATGTAAAACCAGGATTTAAATGCATGATAAGTAAATGCATGATCTTATCATGCTAGAAACATAGTTAATTTTTTTTTTCAATCCTGGGGATCAAACCCAAAGAAAGCTTCCTACATGCTAGGCGAGCACTCTACCACCAAGGTACTCTCCCAGGCCCAAGATTTTTCTTTTTTAATAGATACTAGTATAACGGCTTATAAATAACAGACATTTTTGCATACAGCATGTATCTCAACTTGAGAAATTTTTATATTTTTAAATTGATATTTTAAATTGTCTTTTGAATATAAGAAAATGGCTATATACATGTGTTTCTTTTTTGCAGTAAGCTAACATAATTTTTTTGGACCACAATTATCCTTCACGTTCTCTGGTGGTTGGGCCTCATAAAAAAGATCATGTGAGATCATGCATGTACTACTACAGGACAAGCCACAAGAAAAATGTCCAAATGTTTACTTGTATCTGGCACAGAGTAAGCACTCAAAATATTTGTTGCTGGAATATGTGGCGCACCACGTGCCAGAACAGTCACTTAAAGTAGGTAAAAGATTGGGACCTCGGAGTGTGTGTCACAGTAGTGAGACCGAAGCCCAAGGGCGCAGGGCGTGGTGGGGTGGGGAGGCAAGCGCTCTGCCTAATTACACAAGTCAGCGAGCGAGCGGGGCGAGAAAGGGGCCAAGTGAGCCTAAGGGTAGAGCAATGATTCCAGCACTAGGAGGAAGACCTAACTAACTTCTCCGAAGGTCCCGCTTCTGCCTCTTTGTCCCTGCCCTTAACTCCCCGCCTCCATTCCCACTCTGGTCACCAAGGAGCAGTTGAAGCAATTTCCGCCCTAAGAAGGGTGAAGATTCCAGCTCCTGCTCTCGCGAGTACTGGTGATGGAAGAAGTAAAGGCAGTGGCCTCATTTCTTTCTTGCCCTTCCCCTAGTTTTCTTGTCGCAGTTCCGCCCTTACTACTTTCACTTCCGGCCATGGAAAAGTCACTTCCACCCGGAAAAAGGGTCATCCATTGAGGCCAGGTCTTCTTTCCCGCCCACTCAACTTCCCCCGAGCTTCCGCCCTCAGTATCTTCTACCGCTACTCCTGCCGGCCACCACAACGCCAACAAAGCCAGGTTCCCCCAGCTCCAGATGGGAGTTCCCTCTTCTTTAACGCTCCTCTCGGAAAAAAGGAAAGGCTGGAAGGAAACACTGGCCTCCACGCGCGCCCCCCAGCAGCATTTCCAGTTGCTCCTCTATCCCTCACCATACACCCTCCCACCTGAGCGAAGATGAAGGCACGTTTGCCCTGAGACAGGCGGAGTCGCCTACTCTAGCCCCGTTATCGCGAGAACTTTGAAGTATCGCGAGACTTGACGCCCGACTTGTGCGCCCGGGAAACCCCGTCGCTCCCTTTCCCCTGGCTGGCAGCGCGGAGGCCGCACGGTAAGCTGGCGCTCCGGCACGGGCTGGGCATGGGGCTTCGGGGCCGAATTTCCCGGCTCAGGAGTGCGTGCCTCATGGCCCCGGTGAGCACGGCGCGGGGCCGACCCGCCCCCAGAAGCCGCGACCACGTGCGAGCGGCAGGCCCGGACATGCCTGCTCCGCGCGGTCCGGAACCGAGAGGGCCTGGCGGGCAGCTGAGGGGTGCGTAAGGGCATCCAGAATCCCGGGGCTGAGGGGTGGCGTTGTGCAGGGAGCTCCCAAACTGAGGCCGGGCTGGTGGGACCCACAGAGACGAGCGCCAGTAAGTTCTGTGGGATCCACGGGAGCCAGGGCCGGAGTTGAAGTGAGCCTTGGGGGTTAACGCGGGTGCTGCGGTTTAGATCGCCGAGGAGCCGAGTTGGCTTCCAGGGCCCGGACCCTCGTTCAGACCTCCACCAGACCTTATGGTCACATGTCGGACTTTCTCTCACAGATGCCCGGAGTTACTGTAAAAGACGTAAACCAGCAGGAGTTCGTCAGAGCTCTGGCAGCCTTCCTTAAAAAGTGAGTGTGGGGGCTGAGGTCAGTGGACGCAGTCTGTCCGTTGGCACGTGAGCGCGCCAGGCTCCCTGTTCAGGGAGGGAGGGGAGATTTGTGCGGGGCTTCCATGTGAAGAGTGCACTTTCTGTATGAGGCCTGGGTTGGTGGTTTTGCGTTTCAGCTTGTTTATTTGTGTCTTGGAACCTCTTTCTAAAGTTATGTTCAAAGGAAGGGGTCATATGGGTAAAATTGTTAGTGAGATTCCTGAATTTTGTTTTCCTTCCTGTTTTCTGTCCTAGGTCTGGCAAGCTGAAAGTCCCCGAATGGGTGGACACAGTCAAGCTGGCCAAGCATAAAGAGCTTGCTCCCTACGATGAGAACTGGTTCTACACACGAGCTGGTGAGGAATATGTGTGGGCCCTTGGCTAAGGGTGGGAAGCTGGGTGACCCCATGCACAAATCCATTTTGCTCCCTCCCAAGGTTGCAGTAGGAGAGACTTTTGTGTTGCCACATGTTATGTGACTTGAGACTTTAATAACTGCGGTTTTAAGAGCTTTGAGGAAAGCTTGGTGTCAAATTGGTGGTCACGTTTAATTAGAAGTTCTTCACTTGAGAGAGGCAACATCCCTTCTGCATTTGGGGAGTCAGATTCATGTCCATTGCTTAACCATAAGCTTGGACAAATTGCTTAATTTGCTTATGTTTTCAGTTTCTAATCCTAATGATGGAGGAGCTAATGATGGTACTATTGCAGGATTATCATGAAGATTAAATGAATTTAAAGCAGTCAAAATTTTAGAAGCGCCCATTGCACAGTAATTAAAGTCTTCTGTCTTGTTTCTGTTATTCAGATCATCATGTTAGCCTGCTGTCTCTAGCAAGTTGTTTCTTACTTCGTGGTTGGGATCTGGGCAACTTCTTGCTCTAATCTTGACTTCTAAGTGCCTGTAAAGAAAACACCCTGACCTTGTGGTTACCCTCTGCTGTCGTGGCAGCTCTCGTCTTTTTTTTTTTTTTTTTTAAATCTTATAGTTGTAATATAAATACATTTGCTAACTTCACAGTGCTAATTCTTGCCTGTTTTGACATTTCTAGACTGTATACACATCACGCACTCTTCTGTAGGTCTAACTTACAGGGATAGGGTCAGTGCTGGGTTGTATTAAGGTGACAGCCTCTGCACAGGTCTTCTATGGGATCTTGACCTCTCTGATCTCCCTTTGTGAAGTGGGGGCTCCAAACTAGCAAAGGTCATTATTAGATAGGAGACAGTTTGGCAGGTTTCGGGAATGACCCTGAGATCAGTTGGCCTCAGCCTTGGTACAAGTTGGTTAGCTCTGACAACATATTGTAGACTTGTTGTGCACTCATGCATCAAATGTCCATGGGGCCCACTTTGTTTCAGGCCTTGGACTGGGCACAGGGGACCAACATGACTCATCACAGCCTCTGACCTCTGAGGACTAAAAGATCAACTCTGTGAGGTGGGTAGGATGGGTAGCATATCCACCCACCCACCACTATAGTTTTAGAAAACGGGGGTGGTTGTCGGGTTGGATGGTACATGCCTATAATCCCAGCAATTCAGAGTGCTGAGGCAGGAGGATTGCAAGTTTGAAACCAGTCTGGGCAACTTAGCAAAACCCTATCAAAACTAAAAGGACTTGGATGAAGGTCAGTGTTAAAAACTTCTGGGTTCGATCCCTAGTACCAAAAAAGGGAAGGTGGGGGTGGTGAAGGAAAGCTGGCTCCCTGGGCGCACAACAGTGACAAGACCTGAATGACACACCATGTCCTCAGTGTTTTTTGGCAGTGCCTCGAGAGATTAAAGAAACTTTGGATTTAAGTTTAGAACAACGTAATAGCTCTTTCCATTATTTGAGGTGCATAGACATTTTGCATGTACTAAAAACCTGAAGTAGAATTGCTTTTGCCTGCTTCACAGTTGATCTCAGAAGGGTTGAGTAACAGGTCCAGGGTCAGCCAGGTAGTGATATCAAAATACATCCTTAACGCTGCTTGGAAAGGACTCCTCCAAAATACCAATTTTTTTTTTTTTTTTAAGGTGAGGAATGATTTAAAAATGGGATCAAGACCCTGGTGATGAACCTAGATGAATCTGCTGGTCATGATACAGTAGTTGCAGCCCTTTGCTTAGCAGGCCCTTCCCTGGACATCTCACACTGGGTGTGTGTTCTCCCTCCAGTGGAGCGGGAGCTCCCAAAGCTCCCTTTTAGATCTCACTTTCCCAATGGCCCTGTGATATAGGGAGTTGGGGTGCTGTTGTGCCTGTTTTTTACACTGCTACAGCAGCAGAAGCCAAGTTATTTTCTAATCCACTACAAAAGATGCTTGCTTACTGATATCTATTCTGAAATCTAATGTGCTTTTCACCTAATGTGGGTACAGAGAGGTAGAGTGACTTTTCAAGCAGCTTTGGGAGCATTGGCAAGCCAGCTCTGTCTGACTGTAGGTTCTAGGCTGTATTTTCTCTCTCTGAATGGTGAGATCTGGCCTGTTTTGCCCCCTCAGGAGGTAGAGGCTGGAGTAGAGTGAAGAAACATACAGATGTGGGAAATAAAGAAGTTTGTGGCAGAAGGTGGTCTGGATGTGAGGCAGGACTATGGGATCAAGTTTCCAGGCAATGAGATGGAGATATAGAGAACAGATAATCTCTAAAGGGAGGCTCTGTTGCTCAAGATCAGACTAGAATACTTGAAGACTGCTTATAGGGTAAAGGCTGGTCCTTCTGACTCTTGTGTAGGGTCAGGGATTCAGTCGTGCTGTGTTAGTAGAAGAAATGAAGCTTAGGAAGCATCACAGAAAAATTAAAGAGGCGAATCAAGATCAGGAACGTGATTTTTCCTTGGTTTTTCAGAGAAAGGTCAGGGCGGGCAGGCAGAGCCGCTGCCCCGCCCCCCCCCCCCCCCCCCCCCCCCCCCCCCGCTTTTGACTAGGGTGGGGATACAACCACCAGTCTGTGCTTATTAGCATAAACTGTTGGTGCTATGGTGACTCAAAAAAGCTGGGTTGCTTGTCTCAAGTGCAGAGTGCTGTTGTCCCCCCAGCCCAGCAGGAACACACAGCCATTCCCCCCTTTTCTAAGAATGTACAAGGGTACAGAAGGCCTGTGGGGCTCTCAGTCTGTAACAAGGCCTAACTCGCCTACGAATTCATCGAGAATGGCCTGGATTTTTTTTTTTTTTTTTTTTTTTAATTCCACCAAAGTGTGGCAGTAGGGCCCAGGTCTCAAGGGGGTGGAAAAGGCCGGTGCTTTCCAGAACTTGGTGTTTTATAGTAGAGCTCCTTCACTTCTTATGGGTCAAAAATAATGGGGTAGCAGGGCCTTGTACTCTCTCTCCATTGTGAGCCCCAATTGAAAGAACTAGTATGCTTTGATGGCGCTTATTTCCCACCAGTCACTGTATTTAGGGATTGAATTTAATGGTCTCCTTTGGTGCCACTGTACCTACCTCCTGACAGCTGGATATATGTACTTTGTGGCACTACTAATAAGGAGCCCCGTTGAGATTGTCTCCCACCTGCCTGTTAGCTCAGTGTTTGGCCACCTGTTTTGCACATTGAGCCCAGGCTGAGACCCCGGATCTCTGGGCACTGGTCCTGGCTCAGCAAGACCAAGGTTGCCTGTACTACTTCTGATACACAGCTTCTTACCTTTCCTGAGGTTATCCTTCTTTCCCCAGCCCTTAAGCCCTAGCAGGAGAGCAGGTCTCCTAAGCAGGACACAACCAGATGAAAGCCCATGGACAGAGGTGGTTGTTCATTCTGGGATGGAGTTTTTTAAAGACTAGGGGTGAAGTGGTTTATGCCAAGATAGTCTCTTGATTCGGGCAGAGGGGCGGAACTACAGTAAAAAGTCCCCAGGGCAGAGATAGGACCTACAGTAAATTGGGAAGGTATAAAACTGATGGAATGATTTTATTTATTTGTTGTAATTGGACACAATACCCCTAAAGTACCCTGGTCACTTGGTTTGTTGTACACAGAGAACACTGCCTAGCCTCTGGCTCTGAGTCAGTAGTTTTTGAACTGAATCACTGGTTCACCCTATTGCTTTTCAGAACCAGAAGAGAGCTCACTTGAGCAGATTCTGGCCCTTGTGTTCCCCAGCTGGTAGAGCTATATGATGGCTAGAGGACTGTCTGTCCTGCTCCTGGTGAGGTTAAGCGGTTTGCCTAAGGCTATATCAGTCCAGCTTCTGAGGCCATCTTAATGCATGAGTGATTGTGTGCAGGGCATTTGGCACAGGGTCTAGCAGACCTATGCTCCCGTTCCACAGCAGTTCTGGGTTTTGCTAGAACTTGCCTTTTAGACAACAAGGCTGGCCCCCGGGGGAGACTTGATCAAGCCAGTCCAGGGATAAGAACCCTTGTGTCCTGGAGGGCATGCTGCGGGTTCCAAGTTGGGAGCATCCACTACATAGGGTGTCTGCCCTCTCCCTGTTGTTACTCAGGCATATAGATATGGTCAGTTTCTTAAAACATTGACTAGGCTCCACC